GCATCGTTGTGTGCTCCAGATAATAAATTTGGAGGACCATATTGCCAATTTCGACAACGATTCTGATCACGAAACACATCAGAAGGCCATCCTGTACGTGGGTCAACTAAAGTCCAGCAGCAGGACAAAGGCACAAACAGGAAAAACAAATTTGTCTCTATTGTATGAGCTAGGCAATTAACAGTACCTGGGATTCTAGTTTTTCCATCATATATGTCAGCATTATAAAAGTGGTTCCACCAAGAACTATTATAAATGCCCCAGCCCCTATTCTCAACAGCGCAACACCTCAATTTTTTTTGAACCAGATCCCAAACATTTGTAATTATTTGATACCGTCCGTAATGGCTAACGATTGAAGTTGACATGAAATTTTTAGCAGCATCCGAAAGCTTTAGTAAGATTTAGAAAGTTACCTACAGAATCCTTGAAGGCAAGTATGATTATTCCAGAAATAAAAATCAACAGCAAAACGAGTATCAGAATAATGAGGTACTAAAAATCATCAGTGCAAATTATACGCACAGTAATCAAAAAACAGCGATTTTCTCTGTCGACACCTATATATCCAAATACTGATATCATAAGTGTAATAATTCCGGAAAAAACCAAAACATATGACCCGCTTGCATATAGAGCAGAACCAACAATTTCTGAAAAATCAGCATGATCAATGCTGACAATAACGCCTAAAGTTATTAGGGCAACACCAAAAAACTTAGCGGTAATAATAATTCCAAGCTTACCACAAAGATCAAATTTAAAAAATATAAGAACAGCTGTACACTCCTCTTCGGTACATTAATTTTCATGTTATAGAAGGTTGGGGAAAAGTAATCATTAATACAGGAAGAGGGCGGCTCAATTTACGCTGCTTGGATCATAGTTTACTATTAATCTCATTTGAATTAATTAAAGAATAAAAAGCTAACATAAAAATATTCATTAAGGTAATTGAATTACATGTATTATTTAATTGGTTAGAACTATAATGATTTTACGATAATATAGCTTTTGATACATGCGTGATTTGAAAGCTACAATGACAATTTAAGATGAATAGACCAAGCTTTTGAGTGATTGCCATTTGTCTTCTTAATATTTTTCCCTACTTAATCTTAACAATTGCCTGCCTCATCTCAGCTCGCATTTTAACTTATATTACCCCTTTAAACCATGCTTCTACTTCATTGGCTTAGTAAATGATCCAAATAGGGTAATTAATGCAGAGTCAAGTAGAGTAGAATTGTCTAATGAAAATCTGTTTTG